ACATGGAAGTCCTTTTCATTCTACCATATGATCACTAATTGTGCATCCTTTTCTAATCGTTTGACTAACACTGCATTAATTAAATGATTAGTTGGGGTATGTTGATTTTGATACAAGAAAACTTTATGTCATATTTTAAGATGAGAAATCTTCAATTGCAGAGCATCTCATAATTACTACTCGATCAACTTTATTATTATTATTTTTTTAAAGTTGTAGCATCCTGCACCCCATGACAAAAAGTTTATATAGATTATTATAAATAAATCCAATCCTAGACATGTATTTATAAAAAAACCCACGCACTATTTAAATATAGAAACACACCCAAAAGCAACCCCAAAATCAACAATTGTATATTTTTTGGGTGTGTTTATAAATGGGTCTTGTGTGTGTGTAATGATGGGTTTTGGGTGTGTTTATAAAGTGTTTTGGGTGTTGGGTTTTTTTATAATTTCAACCCCCATTTTGGGTGTTTTAGTGAAACTCCCAAGTTTATATGCATGTAAAAGGATTATTTTATGTGAGGGTTTTTATTTTATTTAATTTTTTGCAACCACCAATTGAACATAATTCGTGTAACGGAAAAAATATCTAAGATTGCCTTCTCTCTTAAACGAGAGAAGTGATAAAGTGGGTTACGAAGTAAGTGTATGCCTCTCTCGTTTTATATTATGTTATTAGATTGTTAATTTAATTATATTACATACTTAGAAAGACATATTGACTTAAAACAATAATTTATCTCAACAGTTTTAATGTCTCTCTTTTTTAATCAAATGGAGAGGAGCAATAGAATTTGAGACATTTTTTATAATTCAAGAAAGAAATATCACTAAATTAAGAGTTATCTTACTAACTCCAACTAATTTTTGAACTCTCTGTCTTTGTCAATAGACATTGTATTATATAATGAGTGTTAATGTAGATGTATAGGTTAGGCAAGTTGGTCTGTGTACTCCCGTCTCCTTGTACCCAAATTCGAATCTCCTCGTAAATTAGATTAATTTAAAGTATTTTAGAGACTATCGCTTCTATCGAAAATATACATATATATAAATTGAGTGTTGACAAATGAACTCAAGCCCAACTATTATATGGAATGGACCAATTTAAATCATTAAGTGTACCAATTAACAAATAGGGAAAGAAACTTTGGGTCATGCAACCAACATGTATTAAAATAGGAAGTAATAATGGACACTAATTATTTGGTCAAAGGTCAAAGGAGATGGAGAATCGTACAATTAGATGTAGAGGGTTCTTTAATTGGGTTCTGGTTTTGGTTATTATCTAGATATTGGGATAGGTGTCTTTCATTATCTTAATCACTGGATGATTGCAAAGCACATGATGAAGGAGCACAAAGTCCGTACTTCAATTGCGTTTTAATTATGGTTTTTCAGAAAGGTTTGATCGATCTTCGTTTTAACTTTTCTTTGTTTCTTGATGATCACATGAGATGAGCTCCCCTTGGTTTTGGATGTTATTTAAACAAATTAAATCAAATAAATAAATATAGAATCTCTTTGTACATGTGTGAAAACATATTACACATGCATCCACTTACTAATAGCATATTTGGGTACATGAAACACTATTCGATAAATACGTAAATTTGGACCATGGGTGAAGAATTTATCACCTATATTATAAGTTCTCTATTTCTTTTTTAATGTGAAACACATTCTTTTGCATGAAACCCTAATTCCGTCACTGAATGCATATAAATGTATAGAAGGGTATAGAAAGTTTCGTATGAAGTGGATATATGAGATCAGCTCTCCATAAAATGGAAATACGATATAATTAGTTTCTCTAAGCGAGAATGCATATGCATGCATGCAACGCAAACATTAATAATTGATGCAGAAAAAATATAGGGCAGAAGAGGTGCACCTCCAAGTACTATAACATTACTGCAGAAGGAGATGAAAGAGATCATGTGGGGAGGGGTCAGGTCTTTCTCAAATTTTCTTCAAATTGAGGCAGCAGATATCGTCTGGTGCATGCAGGCTTGCATGGAATAAAGAAACCAAGTGAGCTGAACGGGGTCTCTCTCACAAACTGTGAACTAAATAACAAAATCTGGTGTCTCTGACTCACTCAAATTCATATCTCAATTCCATTAATGTGTGATTCTTCAGAAATAAAGCTACCAGATCCCAATGGGGCCCTCCAATCATATATATTGTTGTACCACTAATATATATATATATATGTTTTCAAAACCATTATTAATTTAGCATATCTTTATGGGCCCTTTCCAATCATGCCTTTTTTTTCATGATGAAGTTCCCACTACAATTGGTATGGCCTCTGACAAAAATATTAGAAAAGAAAAATTTGTTATGCATAATGCTTGTAATATTACATTCTTCCCAAGAACATTATTTATGTGAACTTTCCTTCTCTTTTTTTTAACTTTACACAAAGGAGATAACTACGAGTGAAAGTATGATTTTTCTTTCCTACTTGAGTTATAAGTCATTTGTTTCGAGTATGGGCTCAACGTAAGTATTATTTAATTGACCGTTAAGTTGCAAAAATCATTGCACAAAATAGATGCCAAAGCATTGTGAATTCCAAAAGAAAAAATAAGGTGTTCTAACTAAGGAGAGTGTTATAACATATCACCATGTGGAAACCATCTCTTGATGGACAAATAGTTTTGGGTTGAGACTTGAGAGAGAGAGGAACACCGCCCCACAGAGGAAAAAGAATATAAGATTTCTACATCTGAACGTTAGGCTTCTCAAAAAGTATTCTTTTTGACATGTGATGTGATGAATTTCCCTCTCTGATTTATTACCCAATTGCATCAAGGCATGTGGATCTCCACATGATTTCCTGTGGTGGGTAAAGATTGCTTCAGCAATAAGATTTAAACAAAGAAAATTTGTAGCAAATGCATCGGTTTGTGAAACCCTTCATCGCACACCCGAAAAGGTTGACACTTGACAATAATGGTGACCTCTAGAATTATATATATGAATCAACTATACAACTTTTTGAACAATCTACAATTGTTCTGGCCTGAATCTGTGACCACCATTTTCATTCATCATTGTATAAGAATACTGTTTTTAGACTAATCATTATTGTATAAGAATACACAATTAGATCAGTTTGGTTGACTATATGTATACTTGTACATTTCCATATATAGATGCATGCATCTTGTCGTACCTCCATTTTCCTAGTCCCTTTCAAAAGTTGCTTCTATATTTGGTCTTAGGGTTCAGTAACATTTCAGTTTCTTGAATAGCTTGAGGTTTACAAAACTCTGATGCTTCTTTTGGCAAATGAATTTTGCTACGGATATATGTGATTTTCAACAGTTGATGCATGTAGAATAACTCTCGATCATTTATATAATATGAATCCCACATGCATCAACAACTAGAAATCGCCACGCTTTTGCGAGATGACTCACCCAAAAAATTGGTTTTTCGTAAATATCAAACCCAACAACTCTCATTATCTTAGTTGCATGTGGATATATCATTGCATGGTTGTTGCATGAGATGAGAGGATATGGCATATGCCAAGGCAATGATTGTAGGATCTGATTCATTTCTCTAATATTACAATTAGACCTACATTTGGTTTTGGACCAAATTTAATATCGACCCCCTCTCCCCAATAAGTCTGAGACAGAGGGTGTGAGGTTGTGGGTTCTAACACTTACTGGGAGTGTCATGTGCGTGTAATAACCCTAAAACATTCCATGAAACATTCCCTAAGACATTCCATGAAACATTCCCTAAAACAAGGATTACATTGCTCAAGAAAAGTATTCCCTAAAACAAGGAATGAGACAAGTGCCATGAGACAAGGGGTGTCTTGTGTTTCATGTCTTTGTGTTCCACAAAGGACAATCACACAAGAAGCCAATATTGCTAACAAAAACTAGGGCTACAAGGAATTGGTTGGAACAATTGATCATTGGAAAATAATACAGGGTTAAGGGATGATGCCACGTCACATGCCTGGTGGATGGATATAAGAGGATGAACACTGAATCTTCTGGTAGAGATGCATGTATAGTACATATACTAAGTGAAAATGAGTTTGAAGATTGAGAGGAGGAAGATTTTAGAATTGATGTTTCTTTAAGCATATGAAAATTTTGAACTAAGAAAAGCAAAATGACTAGTATTTACATCAACTGACATTATACACACATGATCTAAGGAAAACCGTGTCAAATTAAGGAGAAATATTGAAGGTTGAGTAGAGATAATGGAGAGTGTAGAGAATTTTGGGAGCTATGCATATTTTCTGATTTCAACATATGTTTCATTCTATTACACATCAAAACATATATACATGTAATAACCCTAAAACATTCCATGAAACATTCCCTAAGACAAGGATTACATTGCTCAAGAAAAGTATTCCCTAAAACAAGGAATGAGACAAGTGCCATGAGACAAGGGGTGTCTTGTGTTTCATGTCTTTGTGTTCCACAAAGGACAATCACACAAGAAGCCAATATTGCTAACACTCCCCCTCAAGTTGGTGCATAGATATCACCAATGCCCAACTTGACCAGTGAGTTGTGGAATACCCTGCTAGAAACTGCTTTTGTCAAAATATCGGCCAGCTGGTCTTCGGACCTGACAAACGGAAGCTGAATTTCTTTATTGTCAAGTTTTTCTTTAATGAAGTGCCAATCCACTTCAACATGTTTAGTACGATCATGTTGGACTGGATTGTGTGCAATGGATATTGAAGCCTTGTTATCACACTGTAGAAGTGCTTAAGTCATAAGCGCTACTGGCATAAGCGCTACTAGCATAAGCACTTCGGAAAGAAGCACTCCCAAACGAGCCCTAAGAAAAGCAAAATGACTAGTATTTACATCAACTGACATTATATACACATGATCTAAGGAAAACCGTAGAAAGGATGCCAACTAATCTATTGTGGTACACCAATCAAAAAACTTTTACACATGGCATACAAACCCCCTACCAGAAAATTTCAGGTGAAGCTTGTTCACATCGGAAACCCGTCTCCTGCTCTTGGTTCTCCATTTGCAGTCTGCAACAACTTACAGGTTCTCCATCTCATTCTCAAAAAGATTAATGGAAAACTTAGGCTTCAATCCACGACGAGCAGGTAGTGTTGGTGCTGTGCGAGGAAGTTCACTGGTTGAGGATGCTAGGCAAACAAACACCGCAAACCTGTACAAAACATTGACAACCAAGAATGCAGTTTCAAATAACATACGTTAACAACAATTATCAAATTTATTATGTAACTTGCAGTAAAATATAGGTGCCATGCTAGAAGAACGTATCATACCTAGACAACAACAGACAAGCTAATCTTTCCTTGTCTTGGGTGGTCTTATACCACCACTTGCAGTAGAGGAAGAGGATAGAGGTCTTTTAGAAGGCACGGGTTTCATTGATGTTTCCGACTTCTTTGAAGGAATAAGAGCTGAGTAAAGAATAGCATCAACAGCTTCGCGCTGTTTTTTCCTTTTTGCAATTAAATCTTGAGAAGTTCCAGCTTGATTTGAAGCTCTAACTCCGTCACTTGCATCCTTAGTTTGATTTGCGGGAGCTGAAACTTGAATTGTCTGGCTTCTGTCACCCTCAGAAGCTCTCTTAGCCCTTTTTGATTCTTGTGATTTCATAGATCTACCATCATCTGTTCTTTGTTCAGAGTTATCTGCATCCCTTTTCGAAGTTTCAAATTTAACTTTTCTCTTTTTTCTGCTTTCTTTATCTTTACTTTCACCATCTGTGGCATGATCCCTTGACATTGCTGACTTCACCTCCTTGGAAATTTTATTGTGGCCATCTGGAATGGCATCAGTAGAAAGGCCGTCCTTCAATGGTAAATCAGGTTCGTCTCTAGCACTTACTTTTTTTATTCTAGTTTCTTCTTTAGTTGCTGAAAAATCTGTTTCACCTCCATTAGGCCTTCTTTTACTCTGCGCAACATGATCAATGTGTTTTGTTTTTCTTTCAAGTGTTTCCTTTGCACTGCGTTCACTTTTTCTTGCATGCTGATGACTTGTATCTTTAATCTTTTGAACACGTTGTGACTCTAATGAATCAGTACCAAATTTTTTCTCGGAAGCTGTTTTGAACATGTCCTTGTACGGCTTTTCAGCTGTTATAACCAAATTTCTCTTTTGAGCATCTTTTACAAGAGCAGTCCAGTTTTCGTTTGTCTGCAAAGTCCTCGCATTACCCAAAATCCAAAGTGAGAATTTGGCTCTTGTCAAAGCAACATTCATCCGTCTCACATCAGCAACAAACCCAATACTGCTGGAGTTCCTTCCAGGTGCCTCTGCTGCTCTAACAGTGGAAAGTATCAATATATCAACCTCCCGACCTTGGAAGCCATCAATAGTATTAAGTTCCATTTCATCTAAGGTAGAAGATCCAAATGCACTAGAAAAACGAGAGCGCAACAGCGAGAGCTGACACTTATATGGAGTTATGATGCCAATTCTTCCACCAAGAAATTCAGAAGGGTACCTAAGCAACATATCCACTATATAAGCAATCACCCAAAAATCAATAACTAATCTTGAAGGAGTCTGGCTACCTAGGCAACGTACCCAGTATACAATATTTGAAGCAATCAATAACTTAATTTTAAGAAAAAGGAGACTCAGTACCTCTTTTTGAAAAACCTAAGTAATTCAACTGCAGCATCAGCTTCATGCTCATTATACAGGGACAAGGCACTAGCATTCTTACCCCGAAGCTCCCGGCCATCAATAACATCATAAAAGAGATAAGGTCCAAGACCTTCAGTCTCGTGAAATGGTGCTGATTTGCTAGACATGTGATCGCCATTCAGCAACTTCTTCTCATAAAAATGCAAAGAAGGAAACAGACATATTTCTGGGTGCATCCTATACTGCCAATAATAATGAGCAAGAAAATTTTTCAGGTTCTAAACAAGAGCACAGTCATACCGCACCTCACTCAGAAACAGTAACAGTGGCAGTAACAGCAGTAGTAGCGGACAATTTAGTAATAGTACAATAACATAGAAGTAACCTTAGAAGTATTAGTAGCAGCAGCAGTAGTAGCAGAAGAAAGCATACAAGAAGTTTGCAAACAATGATGAAGGATCTTGTAAAAAGCAAAAGGTTACAAAAAAAAATTTAAATACATTTATAACTCGCGAATTATGCAACATTAAACTACTACCTTCCTCCCTTTGAAATGGAAAATTTTGACCGTCAAAAGACATGAAGCATTCTTATAAGCCTACAACACTCAAGTTACAGCCAATAAGGGCAAAGCAAATGCCACTTTAATATGGGACCCCAGTTGCTTTCTGGAATCCAACCGAATAATCTTTTTGTACACTTCCATTGCACCAACATAAAAAAATAAAAAATATACAGCAGAAATTGTACAATTTATAGCCAAGTTCCAATAACAAAACACTCCTAAATATGGCCAGAACACATCATTATATTATAGCATGCACTCCTTCTTCAGAAAGGGAACGCTATCTTTACCAACACAATATGTATATAACATTAGAATGGGAAAGGGGTGGCGAATTCTTGTAATTTTACTCTACCTGTTTGGTCAGCATAATAACTGGGTGCCCAGCTCTTTGTAAACGTTCGAACATGCTGCACTCATATAGAAATTTACTGGCAACATTCGAGAGAACTGTTGCAGGAAGTTGCTTTGGATCGCCAACCTTTAACATTAATTTCAAATTTCAGCTCTACCTAACAATAGAAAATTATTATGTAATCAACTTAAACACTCCTTACCATGATACATTTGGTTCCATTTGACTTTAAAAGCTGAAGAGGAATAAGAGTAGCAGGTTCCAGAGCCTGTTGTAACAACAAGCAACGCTCAAAAGGTAAGAAAGAAAGAATCCACAACTATTGTTATTAATATTAAAAAGTTGACAGACTTTACTTGGGCAGCTTCATCAATAACAACAGCATCAAAAAGAGTATGTTCAGATGGACTGCCAAACTTATGACTTGACATAGATTCAGAACACACTCCGTAAAGGTCTCCCCCACAGCCACTTAATGTAGTTACCACAATTTCAGCTTCTCTCAGTATAGACTTCCGCAGTTTAAATTTAAGTCCTCTGATTTCTTCGTTAGTTTTCTTCTCCTGCTGCTGAACAGTACTAAGATCCTTATAAATTTGCTTCTTTTGCTCATAAAGTTTTCTTAACTTGAAAGCTATCTCTGCATCAGACATTTCCTTCCCATCATCCCCCTTATAATTATCATCTTCAGAAGACTTTTTAAGGTCAGGATTTTGATCATTTAAGTTAGCACGCTTGGCTTCAAAGAATCTAATACGATCGACTAACTTTTCTAGATTAGAGCGCAGTGCAATTGAAGAATCCACACTCAAATCATTTTTTGCATCAATCAATTTCATCCTCTCATCTGCCAACCGTTGATCGACAAGTGTATCAATAAAGAATGGCAGCGAATTTGGATGAACTGTTTTCGCATTTCCAACCCTCACAAGATATGGCTTATACATCTTTCCATCACTGCCATACAGCCCTTGGCTAGAAATCCTTGACACTAACTCATCAACAGCAGCATTAGATTGAGCACAGATGAGCACCCTTCCTCTCAAGTAACTTTCTACAGCTTTGGTATTCCTTTGTACATCATCATTCAGTTGTCTAGCCAAGGCTGCATCCTGCCACGCCCTTGCAATGGCAGCAGCCTGGTTAATCTTGGGACCTGAAATTTGTTTCGAACTCCCAGCCAGAGTATTTCTTTCAGGACCTGTCTTCTGTGAAGGGGAAGCAAGCAAAGCACTGACAATGGCCACAATAGTTCTTGTCTTACCAGTACCTACATATATGATATATGCAATTAAATCCAATTAACAAATGATAAATCAATTATTTTAGATCTCTGAAAGTTAGGCGAGGTAAACCACGAACCTGGAGGACCCTGGATAAGAGATAAGTCAAAATCTTTCGTCCGCCTAGATGTTCCAGTGGCAATACTAATAGCCTGAAGCTGACTCTCATTAAAGGATGACTTCAGTACTTGCTGCAATGGTCGGGACAGTTTACTCAGATCTACTTCCTTGCTTTCACTAGAATCATAAGAATCATTGACTGGCTTCAAAATAGTTGGAAGTAAGGGGATATCCTTTATTGATGATAATGCCTGAAATTCACGAAGTTGAGGTGTAATGTTCATAATACGACTTGCATGCCATTTACTACGTTCAAGGAGGTTCCTTCTGGCTTGATGTAAACGTGAAGTACCATTCAGAAGATAAAACCTGATGAGTAGTAAACTTAACCTTCGCTTATTGTCTCTCTCACGCCTCTCCACCTGAGAAACACAAAGATTATTTTAGCATAAAAAAAAATATAAAAGAAATTTGTTTTCTAGCATGATATAAAGATATAGATGTGCATAGATGCGTGCATACCAAAGTTGCTCACAGAGTTTATCTTCTACAATGAAAATGTAGCAGAAAATTATATCGTATAGACGTGAATCTAGCTCTTCTAAACCTGATAACACTTATGGCACTCATAAGTGATTAAACTTTAGAATGTTTCGCTATTCTTTTTCATTCTTACTATTTTCAAAGAAGATTTTAATCTTTATCAGCAGACTAAGCAACATCCTGATCATCATTAAAACTTACAAATCACTTTTCATGTAGGAATATCACAACAAATAAATAACTAAATTACTAGTTGCATGACTAAATATGAAGGAATACCTTCCCAAGCACATGAACATCATGCGAACATTTTTGTGGGGGCTCTTTTGTTAGCAATACAAGATCATTTTCTGAGAAGTTGCTTGATGCTGTAGCATCATTGACATCATGAGAAAAGCGAACAAGATGAAAATCATCAATTCTTTCAACTGAAAGCACTGATAAACTGCCAAAGTACATCTCTTCCCATGAAGACATTTCTAGAAATGAACTATGTAACTGTGCTTTAAACTCCTCCAAAACCAATGGACAAAAGATTTCAACATACTGTTCAGGTGAATGGAACTGCACAGGAACCTCCTTTAATTTCGCAACTTTATGGTTATCATTTGCACTTCCAGATGCAACCCCCACTAGAGCAAAGTAATCTAACTCTAAGATAGGTCTATACCATTCATCAAGCCTTGGTGGCTTGAACCTTTTTCGAGCTTCCATCCTCTGTAAATGACCAGGTCTGTTCTGAAAAGGTGATCTAAGCTGAATAAGTTGTCGCTTAGGACCAGGAATGCTTGTTTTGGTCAGAAGTGACTGCTGAGGTCTGACCGAATTGAGAGCAGACTCTAATGAATTGTCTTTGGCATCACATACTATCTGTTTCAACACAGCGGTGTCTTCTTTCAAGACCACATTGTTGGAGACTTGATTCAACTTTTTGGAACTGACAGCACCGACAGATGAGTTATTCAAATTAATTTTATCCTGAGATTTTTCAGAATCAATTATACTGCATTCAGGGATTATTTCTTTCCTGCTATTATCTACATCTTTTGATTTGAGCGAAGAAACATGTGGCATTTTTCCTCTTGATCTATCAAAATCCTGTTTCTGATAAGCAAGGCCAGAACCCTCTGTAGCATCAATTTTCTGGAAGGCCTTGAAAGAATCCTTGTAAGTGTCTGCACCAGAAATCTTCTTCGCAGGTTCAGTATATGAAGCGCTTTTATCAGCACTACAAGCAATTGTCTTGTCACCCTCCATGCACGGACTCATCTTAGTATCAGACAAAATTACTTCACTGGGTGAAACTGCTTCAGTTTCATCATCAGAAAGGACAATCATATCATCCCTACGCTTTCTGTTATCGACCAATGGTGAGTGCAGGATTTGAACATCTGGTTCCTTGATTGGCAAGGGCTGCATAACTGGAGCTGAATACTTCTTCTCAAAAGATAACCCTTCAGGAAACAAAGCATTTGAACAGAGGTCAGTCTTTCCCACACTAGAAGAGGCTTCCTTGGATAAAGAAACTGAAAGGAGTGCCACTTGTTCCATCAATTGATCCATCGAAACGCAATCTAGATTTAGAAGGCACAACACATAAAAAACTGTTAGTTTCAATAGTGAAAAATGGTCACTGCTTCAACAGAAGAGAAGGGGGTGAGGTGCTCATTGCAAGATAGTAATTTTTTTTTGCATCAATGTATATCAATATGGAAAGCTCACCGGATGAAATTAGATTTTCAATGGTGCCGATTGTTGATGTGATAGAACTGTTGCAAAACCCTTTTAGCAATTTCAGCAAGGAGGTGATTGTTCGTTGCCAGTATACAACCACAGTTTTAAGTGATGACTTTCCCCAATCCATAAAATCATGAAGCCATGAGAAGTCATATGTATTTTCCTTTGTTCCAGAAAATCCAGACTGTTTATGACATAAACAGTATATATTTTCAAACACACAAGGGAGGATCTCAAGTATTCGGACACAAGTCATCTGAAACAAAATGTAAGTAAAAATAATAAGAATTCCAGCTTAATAGAACCCAGATATAACACATCAAAGAAGCTGAGATCCACTTTTCCTTCCTTTTTGTAGGAATTGTTGAACTCGTATAGTTCCAAAAATACTAAAAACTAAAACTGCACATAGAAACAATACTCAGGTGCACACAACACACAGAGAGAGAGAGAGAGAGAGAGAGAGAGAGAGAGAGGACAAGTATTTTACTTCATCTGATAAGTTACCACACAGCCCACCCCAAGGAAAAAAAAATGCTACCAGTACCCATAAGTACAACACCAAGAAGTTGTCTTAACTATGCGAATAACCAAAATAGACTTGTCATTCACAATTAGAAACACTACCTGACAAACACTGTAATCAATAAATGCTTTTCCTTCTAATAAGCACCTGCAGATGGAAGGCCATGCAGTTTCTGATAGCAAGTAATAAAATCTTTCCAGTAAATTTGAGTCGACATTTGAAGGATGGCCATTGACATTGACAGGCGAGGAATCAAAGACTGGCTGCCTAAGAAATCCACCTTGGGAAGAAAACTTTGTTGTATTTAAGTGGTCAGGTTCTGGAAAGTCCGCAGCACGTGAATCCCCATCAATAAGTATTCTCCGAAGAACAAAGAAAAAATGATGTAGGGTCTGAAACTTTAATATAACAGTATCCAGTTGGACCTGAAAAATTGAAATGAACTGTAGTAGAAAAAGAACAGAAGCAAAGGATATCACAATAAGGATAACTATTCTGTAAAACTTAATGACTGAAACACTGGTAATACACACTACCAGCATTTCAGAACTTATGTTCTACCCATTAAACATAAACCTATACGTTCTTTCTCTATCTGTGACTAGTTTCCTGACAAGAGGAAAAGGGACCCAAGTGACTTCACATTCTAATTAAAATAAGCATGCCTGTTTATCCAAGCATAGAAGGTCAGGGCACTTATAGCCTTTTTTAACTAATCAAGAAACTGACAATCAAATAAAATACGGATCAGAGAGAGATAGTACGAAACTTGGACCTCTTTTTAGAGGTCGAATAACTTGAGTGTCCATCAACATATAAGTTTATTGTAATTATAAATTCACCATCAACAGATAAGTTTATCGAAAGTACAAATCAAGCTAATTAGTTGATTTAAAATTGACATGTACAGATGCACTTAGTTATATACTAGACTAACGGGACAGATGCGTGAACTAAATGCTGCTGCTACATATCAGTAGTTTCAATTTTCAAGAAATTTGATGAAGCAAAAGTATTACCAGTTTCACAGCATGTCTCAAGCCCAAAAGGACAGCGGACAATGAAGATCCATAAGAACATAGGAACTTCAAACTACTAGCAAGACCCTGTGTATTGGAAACCTGTTCCATGATGCACTTGCCAAATTTCCTCACATTCTGCATCACATAGAGATTTATGCAATACAAAAAAATTAAAACAGACACAATAAAAGATGCAAACAATAAGTAAAATTGAAAGATAACATTATGAGGTCCAAATAAGTGGCATCTAAGCTATAAATATAAGTTTTCTGGGCTAAAAGTATAAATAGTATAAATAACTGTTGGAATCCAATAATTACATCATTGGGATCTATAAGTGAAAGGAACAAGCTTTCACCCATCCTTGGCTCCCATGTCCACTGTTTACGAAGTTCCCCCTGCCCCACATGAACCAGAAAATGTGATGTTAACCTGTAACACACCATCAAGTTAGTACTAAAAGACTCACAAAGTCCACCAGGAACAAAGTATGCACAAAATGGAAGCTGTAGCACATAAACTGAAAAATATAGTAGCATTTCTATAACATAAGTAACAAAGGTAAGAAGAATGAATGGAACAAAAATAACCTGTTGAATGTTCGTATTAAAGGAAGAGACATTGTTGAGACTTTAATTGAGTTTTTTGACTCCTTCCCATCTCCACCATCATCAGAACCAGTGGGGACCTTCCACCCAAAGGTTGAAGATATTTCTGTAGCTAAGGATGAAAGCCAGGTTCTGACTGGAAGAGCACTTTCTGCACCAGTCTCAGGTTCTACCATAGGAAAACGAGATCGCGCCCAGAAAACAGCCTTGGAAAACGATATAGGAAGAGTTGATGGATTGATGTCAACAAGGACATCAATCCATAACATTGGAATGCACATCCACTCTCCAAATTCCCGAGATGTAATTTTACTTTGAATGCTAAATTCACTCCATGAACTATTATCCTTCTCTTCAGCATCCACAGAAAATGGAAGCCCCTCATCATCTTCATCATTCAACTCATAAGACATGCTCCTTTCAGAAACCACGGTTGGGTGGGTATTCAACACTGAGCTTATTAACACAGCAGCATCAGACACCATGATAGTTTGTATAAGATCAAAGGCAGGTTGTCTTAGAGAACTGTGAAGCGAAGAATCCTTCAGAGATGACACAAGAGAAGGGCCCCTGTCAAATACAAACAGATTAATCAGGCAACAGTAATGTTGTGCAAAACCCCTGACCAATTAAATAAACAACAACAAAACACAAATAAATATGTGATTGAGATAACCCATATGCATAATTGCTCTAAAACACATAAAATCAAGTGAGAAAGAGCATCGGGAAGGAAATTTGAATTCCCTTCTTTTGTTTTTGGCAAGGAAAACGAGAGCAATAGTACAGGACCTTCATCAATCTTTTATACCAGATATTTACTATTAATATGAAGATAGAAACTAATTTCTCTGCAACACTAAACCCCAGGAGAAAATTATTTTCAGATTGAAGTCTCCCCTATTCCCTCCTACAGTTTGCAAAAATATCTGGCAAAAACAAATGACAGAAAATACATATTCCAAACTGAAAAGTAATAGCATAATCAACTTCATGTCATTTGTTTTCTCCCCAGGAACAGCCTCCACAGATATATCAAATCAATGATAGATAAATTACATACCACATATGTGCACATTCAGATGGAGGACAAGGTGGGTTCATTGTGTAACCTCGATGCACAATTAGAAGGGCTATCTGAAAATGAAAACTTGCAATAAATAAAGCCAAGATAATGCAGCAAACAAAACTGTCTTACAATAATAATGAGAAGATGCATAATCTAACTAAACACAAGATACTGCACGTATTAACAATCTAAAGGAAGAAATAAGAACCTGACAAGCCTTTTGTCTCGTTAAGCCACTGAAGTTACTGCTCACAGGAACCTGAATGAGGAGAAAATAAAGAAAATGCCTACGTTGCTTTTCATGTTCCCCATCTTGCAAAGCTTCAAGAGACTGCATAAATTGGACTTGGACATATCAGATTAGTAACAACTGCTAGCAAGTGAAAAAATAACGTACAGGAACAGGCTATAAATGAAAGTTGCAGAATATATCACAGACATGCCTGCAGAAAAGGCTGAAAAAGATCGAAAATGTCCTTATGACTCTTCTCGTTTCGAGTATGAAAACACTGGCCCAGTAGAGTATTGCGCATCACACTTGGAGACAATGTAGATCTCAGCCAAAGTTTACAACCTAAGTCAAGCCACAATTGCAAGGAAAAATGACTGAGCAGTATTGAACAGAAAATCAACACATAATTGAAAATTAAAAGAAGATGTGTACCAAGCATTTCAAAGAGTATTCTCAAGCAAGCAACTGCATGAGAGAATTCTAATGAGTCACCACTAATATGATTGAGTACAATATCAAGAAAAATGGGATAGCGCTCTAATATCGCTTCTTCAAAAGCTGGAGGTTCCAAAAACCCAAGCCTTCATAAAACACACAAAAGGATCATTACCAATAAAACTGGAAAAGGAAAAATACTTTTGATAACAAATTATTTGTAGCCAGAAGTTCCTACAGTGATTTTATTCCAAGCCATATGGACATGCGTTCCAGCTGCACTCTTGGCCTTAAAGTTTTCAAAGTTGATGGTAACACTTCAGTCTCCAAGAAGCCGATGAATTTCTTAAGCAAAGGCTGCAAGGGTTCCAAGTCTGTTGCTCTCCTATGCACAAAGATAACAAAAAATGAAACCAAAATGCACAGACTGAATTACAATTAGAGATAAATATAAAGCATTTGCATAAAGGCACATGCTAACTAAACAAAAAAGCAACATTTCATAGATGAAGGCAGTTTTGAATGTGAATAGTGATATCAGTAGTGCATAACAACAGTATCAACCCAAAAAGTGTGATTTGGTGACGCATTCAAACATTACAATGTAAAATGTTAAAACACCTGCACCTCACCCACCCCCCTTACCCTCTTCCACCACAGGCCAAAGAGCCCAAAAACAAGACCAGGTTGTTAGCATAATCATCAGATGACAAATTTTGAAACTCAAGATCAAACCATTAAAGCAGAAACCGGCATAATATCAGAGTACCTCAGTTTTCCCATAGAACCAGCTAAACGATGACCAACAGAGCGCACTCTTCTTTTGAAGAAAAATAATGCATAAACACCCTAACAGAAAACAGCTTCAATCTATAAGGAAAAAATTATACACTTATTTAAGAAAGACAAAAGCCAACTGAGAACACATAGAAACAAATCTACCAAAAACATACCGGAAACTGTTGCTGTCCAGCCAGAGCCAGTTCATGCATATTATCAACTGCTTCAATAAATTTTTCAAATTCAGTGAATAAGGACTCATCATCCAATAGTACAGGGAACATTAGGACCTGTCAAGCAGTAGACAACAAATGTATCAAATCAAAGTCAATTCTAATCTGACAACATACAAGGAAATCTAATGCATAGATAAATGCATACATATCACTTATAAGGATGAAAATGTCAATGTCAGTACAAATACTGATACTCCCAATTCACGGAAATATTGACGGAAATAGTGATATCTATGAGAATAATATTGGTAGAAAACCAAAAAAAATGATAAACCCTAGACATGTAAACTTCAAAATGAATGATCAAGTCCTCCTGTCCTTTTTCATTTCCTAACAAAAACAGGCTTTCATTGTGTTTTTCAACATAAGTAAGGCTTGTCCAAATACCTCTAGAGCTCGAACTTCCATTTCTCCTACCGATTGACCCCCTTGCTTGGCTATTAATTAGATTGGTTTTCCACAAGGCAAATAAAAAACAAATAAATAGACAAATGCACAAACAGGGAAGACAAAAAACTAAAATAGTCGTAGCATTAAGCTGAGCCCAATCTGTAACATCCTTCAAACCAAGTAAATACTAATGGTCCATTCCAAAATTATACAAAGAGATGGGCTTAATAATTTAGATAGCAGGACCAGTTAAAGCCCAAATTAAATTCAAACCCAGCAAAGTCGCGGGGTAAAATCACAAAAAGCAAACACTATATTCAGCCCAACCTGAAAACAAGATCCACTCCACTAAGAAAAACAACTGAGCGAAGCTGAACCTCCATCTGAAGGAGTTGGGGACAGAGAACCAGCCCTTTACACATTCATATGCCTTTTTCCTCACACGGCAGCAGCCCCTTTTCCTTCATTTATTCAGTTTTCACAGACACCAGCATACCATCTGTGTGTAACTCAAAGAAGGGGTCATATGCCTTTTTCCTCACACGGCAGCAGCCCCTTTTCCTTCATTTATTCAGTTTTCACAGACACCAGCATACCATCTGTGTGTAGAAAGAGAGAGAGAGAGAGAGAGAGAGAGAGAGAGAGTACCCAACAGCCAAACACCCTCAGATAATCCATTGATCATCTAGGTTTAAGACTCATACTAAAGTGTCCCTTAGTTTTGAATTTACCACAGTACGTCAAAAAGGAGCTACATAAAAAAGAATTTTCCAAAAACCATGCCAAAATTTTGGTAGATACTTACCACCATATCACTGAAACTTCGGGAATTTTTCCTAAATATCCAGTTTTTTCTAACCATTTCCACCAAAATCAAAATTTCCACATACAATCGCCAATATTTCCTGAAAACTCTGTAATATATAACTGGTCCACACCCACCCAATTTTCCATATTGGCACTGGCACTCTACTCTAGAAGGACAACGTATCCTGGGGTAAGATATGGCATCACCATACATAACAACACCAAGTGAACTTCCATAACAAGTTTAAATATAAGATATGATCATATGAGAATCAACTGTAAGCCTGATATTTACATAAGCTCAAATGATCAACCAAATGCCATACTAGGCCACAAAAACCAAATCATTACAGTTTCAACAAACTTTTTTGCAGAAACCAGGAAAACATTTCAACTTCTCTCATAGGGTATATGTCTTGTAAACATAGTTGTTAAGAAAAAGACCAGGGCCAAATATTACATGATAAATTATCAATCATTTCTTTGACCATCCAACTTAGATATACTGATAAACATGGACAGCCTATTTAGACTGCCTTTTGATGATAACATAGAATTTTAATACCTTATTTTTTCCACTGAACCAGACATGGATGTCAATTATTCCTTCCAGGCATGCACCTTGACATACAATTACATTGTTGGAATGAATTTTCCAATTATTTCATTAACACCTTTTGATACCGATATGCTATACATTCAACATGTATGAATAAAAGTTAACTATAAGTACAATTCTTGTTGTATCATAAAGAATAAGTCAATAAAAATAAAATTGAAAGAGAATATCGGCATACCTCATACATGACACTAATGACTTCTGCATTATCACGGGCAGCATCATATTCTTTCCGGGCTAATTTAGTATTTATCTCTATCAAGTGCTGTGTCACTCTTTCCTCATCAAGACTTCGCAAAACATCCAGAAGGGGACCAATAGAACTCGATTCGTACTCCGTGCTATACATCTCATGGGCTTGATAGTGCTGGGAAATGCATTGGATGCACTGCCGCATTTCCTCAGAGATTCTCCTCCATAGTTGTCTAAGAGGAGAATCAGAATGCTCATCTTTGAAGTAGTTGTAAAAAGTCTCCAGAAGAGGCCCCATTATATCCCAGGACCCACACCAAATATGATTTTCTTTTGGCAAAGAGATCAAGAATTTAAATGCATCTGCAAACCTGACACAATGCCAAAATGGAATAGTAAACGTTAAAACTAAACAAACACATAGAAAGTCTAGTCAGCTGATTAAGAATAGTAAACCATCAAATCTTGAAGATAATCACCCCAACAAAATAAAAATAAAAGACAGAAGAGAAAACAAATATATCAAGAAGGATGCATGAGTGCATTCTCAGGTTAAGGTAGTTCTTGGATTCAATCTTACACAACAAAGAGAAACAAAAGGTCTAACTTTAGATGAATTCAATTGCTTAAGTCTCACATAATAAATCCAGGTTTAGAATTCTTTACAGTAATTTTAATAGAGTTAACAATTAAAACTGAAATTTGAACTGCAAAAAAGGCTTTGTGCCTAAGACTTCCTAGGTCAGACATATCCATGAAGAAGCCCACACAGGAAACGATAATAAATAAACGACATACGCGAAGAAATTGATGTGGATCATCAGCAGAAACAAACAAGCTAATGTAGTTCACTTCTGGCACTACATTAAGGATCGCATTTAGTTATCCGAATAGCAATTCTGCATAAGTAAATAAGAATCTTAACATAAATAACATACCTAGAACAACAATGCCAATGCATGCAGGCCTAGTGTAACATAATAAACAAAAACTCTCCATTTCCTTAAACTTTCTTTTCTCCACTTAATAAAAATCTCATTTTCCATCTTGCACATAAATCCACTTACTAAGCCGCCAATCAAATTCGACATTGCTGTCATTAAATTTAGTTCTTCTATTTACTTATCTTATCTAAACCAAGCAAAATTAATAGCAATAATGAATAAACAAAGTTCACTTTAGATAACTTTGTTTAGCATTTTTCGGAAAAGTATGCTTCCTGAGAGCAAGGATTAAGCGAACTGGCTGCAAAACCAAATTAAAACAAAGAAGTGAGAGAGAAGACCATTGTTCTTTGTTCTGGTGGAGACGATGACGTTTAGAGGCGTCAATGCGATCGTCGTCTTCGTCTGCTTCTTCCTCAATGCCTCTCCAACGGTCCAATAGCTCTCTTCTCGTGGCCAGTTTATTCGCCATCTATCCTAATTACAGTGTTTCTATTTTTTATTTCAATTTAATGACAATTTTCTAGGGTTTTCCGCACAGAGAAAGATCATGGAAGGAGAGAGAGACTCTGAGAGTAATAAGAGAGGGAAAGTGGGAGACATAACAAGGAGAAAATATATAGGCATTGGAATTTGGATGTTGGAGGGGCTTACGGGTCATTTCATCATTCGGTCAAAGAAACGGAAAGGCTTGTATCACTACGTTCGGGGTTCGGACTTATTTTACCGCCATCTTATCGGAAAATTGGGCCGGGTTTCCATTCAGATTATCTAAAACGGGTCAAATCCCATATGGCCCAAAGTGCAAGTTTTGGAATTATCTTGTCGGCCTGATCAACTACTGGACCTGAACCACACCCTTCTCTTCTTTTTTCTTTTTTTTTGGTCAAACACCCTTCTCTTCTTAGAGAAGTGAAAGAAGTCTATAGTAAAGGCCCTTAGATGAGACCCTATCTCTTAATTGTTGAATCAAATTAGTTTGCCGTTTGATTAAATTGATTAGTTTGATCCAACGGTAAAGAAATAGGACCTCGTCTTAGATAAGACCCTCACTAAAGAAGTGTGCTACTGTGCTAGATTAGAATGTTTTTTTTAAGACTCCTTGTTCTTGCAAATCACAAACTGACATATATTAAAATGAATTACTAAAAGTATTTTTAAAAAATTATATATGCATGTCAAATTGTGATTGGCTTATAATGAATGAGGAAATGCTCATTACATGTAAGAAGCCAAAATATCTTCTTCTTTTTTATGTATAAAACAAGGCTTGGACAATTTGAATTTGTTTGTCAACTTTATTTTTTAAAGACATGTCATTTTTTAGTTGGATTTCAATGTCACGTAAAATTTTACATAAACAAACAAAATGAATATAAATGATCAAAAGAGATAGAGTCAGGAAATCACATTAAACAAGTGGGAATTGAAACTTTCTGGATGGTAGCAATAAGTTGATACTTTCTTCTCTATCTATGCTTGGATGGTCCCAAAGTCATCTATTGAAGTATCCTCATCTCACAAAGATAAAAGGTGCGGATAGAACATGGGTCTTGGACATCTGAATGTGACCCAAAAGTCTAGATTTTTTTGTTCTGATTTGGTGACAAAATGAATATAAATGATCAAAAGAGATAGAGTCAGGAAACAAGTGGGAATTGAAACTTTCTGGATAATAGCAATGAGAGTTGATACTTTCTTCTCTATCTATGCTTGGATGGTCCCAAAGTCATCTATTGAAGTATCCTCATCTCACAAAGATAAAAAGTGCGGATAGAACATGGGTCTTGGACATCTGAATGTGACCCAAAAGTCTAGATTTTTTTGTTCTGATTTGGTACGTCACATTATTCAACAAGTTTTGGAGATTTTTCCTTTTATATAGATTCTTTTACATATTAAGCAATTGTTGTTATTAATAACAATCTTATTTTAAATCTTTTCTTATGCATATATATATATAGTAGCTATAACAAGAAAGTGAACATGTGTTATTTGTTCGTTCTAGTCCTTGATTTACATAATACATGTATTGTAGTTTAGTTGAATTTGGATTGAGTCAGAATAAATCCTAAATTCGAGACTTGAAACCAAACTCTTGACCTCACTTGAATTCTATTGTAGACATAAACCCTATATTCAAAGTACTAGGTTTTGAGGTTTAGATTCGGATCGGAGTTTTAGTCCCAAGTATAAATTTGGTGTTTGGTGTTATCCGAGATTCTAACATCCAAGTTCAGTCTAATTCAATTATAATATGGGATACCAAAACAAAATATAACATTATTTAAACAATCCAATTTGGTAATATCATATTACAGATAACATTCTACAAAATTCTATGGAATTTGATATTGAATAAATCTCCTTAAATAACAATTCAATTCAATTCGATATTGTGCACCAAATGCAGTGATTTTAGCATGGTTTTTTTGGATTCAATTACCCAAACCATTATTCTTCGTGTATATTTTTCTCTCCATTTTTGTGGCGGTTCTCAAAGTCAAAACATTGCAATGCAAATGGGAAAGCAAAGCACAAGAGAAAACCCAACCCAACTCAACCCAACCCAACCCTACACACAACAAAAACGTTTCACATAAACATCAAGAGCCAAGACTCAGTCTCAAAAGGCAGCAAAAAACCAAAAACCCCAGAAAAATCTCTCTCAAAATCAATGTCCCCAAAACCCCACTCCCTCTCCCTCTCTCAGGCATGTCAATTCCAAACCCCTCCCTCCCTCTCTCTCTTGCTCTCTCTATCTCTCTCTGTATTTTATACATTATCAAAGATGGCAAGCTTTATGTTATAAGAATCTACCAAGAAAAGTCTTGCATATTTTCTGGGAGTGTTTTTTTTATTTTTTTCATGTCAATAACTGCATTTGATTTAATATTTTTATCTTTGGGGGGGTTTATTTTTTTATGATGCTGATAAGGAAAAGCATGGCATTTGAATCACAGTCTCTGAAGAAGGAGAAGAAGTACAGTGGGGTATTTGGGGATGTGTACAGTATGGCCATTCTTCCCAAAGAGCTTGAGCTTGAGAAGGAATCACACCCAAAATTCGATCTCCGGTTTCAACTCCCTGACCTCACCCAACCCTTCAGAGTAAGTCCCCCAATTTTTTGTTTCTTTTATTATCATTTTGAAGGGAAAGGTTTTGTTTTGTTTTTTTTCATTATTGGTCTGTTTGGTTACTGATAAAGTGGCATAAAAGTAATGAAAATGGAGGAGGAAAAACGAAAAACAAAAACCCATTAAGGAAAATTATCCCATTTCCTTTCAAGCTCTCAATCTCTCTCTCTCTGGATGCCTGAATGGGACATGCAATAAAAGTGAGGTTTTTTTTAATGTTTTATTGTTATGTCTCTGCTTTGTTTCTGGGATTTGGATAAGCAAAAACGAAATACAAAGGAGAGCTTTACTGAAAATGAAAAACCCCTTTTTTGAAAAGTTCAAATACTAAAAAGATGGAAGTTTTGGGATCAGTTACTCACATTAAATTTGGACATTGTTATCTCTGGGTAGTTTGGGCGTATTTTTAGAGGCCAAAAGAAAAGTAACATCTATTTTTTCATTGGTATCACAAAAAGTGTGCTTTGATGTGCTTCAGGAATTCTCAAGGACAAGAGAAGTTAGAGAGTTCCTTAGTGGAGCTTTAGCAGGGGCAATGACCAAAGCTGTTCTTGCTCCTCTTGAGACCATCAGGTCAGTTTTGCTGTTTTACCAACTCTTTAAAATTATCTCACTAGTAATTGCATTTGATACATTATGTTTATATAAGCATATTAGTTTACATGCTGGAGTAAATCTGTAAGTGAAGAAGTGCATAATTACCCAAAATTAATGGTCAATGCAACTTCTTATGTTCATTCAACAATTAAAGACCTGAAGACAACAATATTGTCTTTATATAGCTTTCCTTGTTAATAAAGCACTATTTATATGTTCACATCCTAGCCTTTTTCATTTCGAGTCAACATTAATTGTAATCAACAATCTCAGCCCAAAGGATATTGGTAATTGATTCCCAGAGATGGCTTTGCACCATCATTTTGTTGATCAGCCTAGCTTAGTTGTGCTGGATACACAAATAGTTCCCCATGTTTTAACCTTATCTTCAGTAAAGCCACAAGGTCTTGAGATTGTGATGGAGATGGACTTGTTTTAAGTCTGTATGTCTAATAATGGAAGAGATTTTGTATGCAGTTATGCTAATTTCATATTGTAGTGCTTAAACTAAGTTTATATGAGGATCTCTGAGGCACCTTGTATTAAATGTGAACAAATTCTTTTGCACAGTGGATAATCCTCCACATTTGGTTGTTTTCTTTCATTTATTTGTTAGATTTTTCGACTTTAATCAAACATCTTTTAGCAATCATATAAAATTTTGCAGAATTAAGTAGAAAAGGTAATTAAGTACTATGTAACTCTTGACGACTATTCTTTAAGTGTTGATACATGATTCGTAATCTGTTGGATGTGATATGTGCAGGACTAGAATGGTAGTTGGTGTCGGATCTAGACACATTTCTGGCAGTTTCTTAGAGGTCATTGAGAAGCAGGGTTGGCAAGGACTGTGGGCTGGAAATGCAGTCAATATGATTCGCATAATCCCCACCCAAGCAATTGAGTTTGCAACATTTGAGTGTGTTAAGCGAGCAATGACATCAACACAAGAGAAATGGAAGCAGGATGAATCCCATAAGGTGCAAATTGGCCCTGTAAGCTTGAACCTCTCCATCTCCTGGATTTCTCCTGTTGCTGTGGCTGGTGCTGCTGCCGGAGTTGTTAGCACACTTGTGTGTCATCCCCTTGAAGTTCTGAAGGTATTTATATCATGGGTAAACTTTATGAGGATAGAAATTTAGTCCAGTCAGAAACTTCTTTTGTTTTTTTTGTGGATACTAAGAAGTTCATTTTCCTCTCAGTCATATATAAAGTCGCTTTCTGCTTTTCTGCTGCTCTGCTTCATCATGTCTGATGGCTATGTGACCCGTCTTATCTTCCCTGTTTCATTTATATATGTGCTTTTCGTTTGTTCTCATGGAAATACATATTGTGGTTTTAACTTTTTATATATTTTTGGATTTTATTTCTACATATAAGATTTCAGTGACGAACTGATGATTCATTCATGGTATGTCACTTTTGCTTGGGTAGTTATTGTTTCTTTCTTCTAATTTCTTTCAACAGGATCGGTTGACTGTGTCTCCTGAGGCGTATCCTAGTTTAAGCATTGCAATCAGCAAAATTTATAAGGAGGGTGGGATTGGTGCATGCTATTCTGGTCTTTCACCTACACTAATTGGGATGCTTCCGTACAGTACTTGTTACTATTTCATGTATGAAAAAATGAAGAAATCCTACTGCCAAGCAAAGAATAAAGAGTTACTTAACCGTCCAGAGATGCTACTGGTTGGAGCTCTTGCAGGTGAAAATTTGGCCTCTGTTGCGTAAATTAAATTGAAAAGATAATTTGAACCCATTGTCTGTCTCTATTTTTTTTTTTAATTAAAAAAAACCTTTAAAATCTTGTTTGAAGATTGATTAGTTTTTGGACATTATGGATGGTAACTCCTGTTTCGGACCGATTTGCTAAAAGAATCTAAATATGTTTGAATTTGTGCAGGTTACTGAATCACTTTCCTATTTGTTTTTTGTTTTTTTAATTTTTATCTAGCAACATCATGACTTTTTATTTATCAGATTTACAAAACAATGACATGCATCTTCTTAGAAAGGTTGTTTAAATGAAGGTCTGATACAACCATCTGTTTAATTGTATGTAATTACTAATTAGAAGTATAGAAGAAGTTCTTTTGTTTTGTTGTCGGGCTATCTGTCCACTATTCGACAATGAAGTTGTATTTCACTGAATAAATTCTCTGATGACAGTCAGGTCTTCCACCTCTTAGACGTTAAAAAATGTGAAAGGAAGAAAATAACTGCAAAACTTAGGGAAGCACGAGAGAGAACAATATTACCTGTCAATTCTGTAACTGTTATGGGGAACTTTGAAACCTGGCTTTATTGTCCAATATTTTTATTCTCTCGTTGGTCTTTGGCATCAGAATAATTGGATGGACATATTATTGACTGATTATAGGATCATAACCTGATCACTTGTTCATGTGGATTCTCTAGGTTTTACAGCTAGCACAATCAGCTTTCCGTTGGAGGTGGCCAGGAAACGGCTGATGGTTGGAGCTTTGCAAGGTAAGTGCCCACCTCACATGGCAGCGGCACTCTCAGAAGTCATTCGAGAAGAAGGTTTGCTGGGACTCTACAGAGGGTGGGGGGCAAGCTGTTTAAAGGTCATGCCATCCTCTGGCATCACCTGGATGTTTTATGAAGCTTGGAAGGACATATTGCTTGTTCAGAGGAATTCCTTATAAGTTATAACAAACTCAAGCAAGATTTCACATAGGATCATAGTTAAAACTTACATGGAGATCTCTACTGGTCGAAATTACCAGGTGGGAGGTGTCGACTAATTCGTTGAAGTGTCGTCTAGGTTATTTTACACAGGCCTAGTTTGGTTGGAACTTGGATCTTGCCTCCCTTTAGTATAAGTGTTTATTTTGATTTTTCGATTCTTTTCGTTTGGGATTGGTTTCCCCATGTTCTCTTTTTTTTTTTCCTCCAAAGCCTTTGCGCACCAACTGGCAGTTGAGCTTCAATTCTGTGCCAGACAAAGAACATGTACTGATAAATGATATATTTGTGCCCTTAAGATTCTTTTTCCCTTTATATCTTCAAATTCATACCGATCAAAAGTGAAAAAGGAAAATTCAAATTTCAGGTTCTTTTTTAATTTTTATGAGTACTGATTTCTTGTGAGGTGAAGAGTTGATGGAAATTTTGCCAATCTGCAATAGGCTTGATAAGATTAGAGTTCATAGCTTGCACTTTTTCTTCTTCTAAAGAACTTGTCGGCTGCATGTTTCTGTACGGATACTTCGAATTGCACCCAGTTTCTTTTTCTCACGACACCCATATATCCTCACAAAAATTTCCTAACCTGCCCATTCTATCCTCATTGACTGTTAATTGTTTGAATTCTTTTTAGCTAAAATAAAGTGAACATAATCATGGTGGTCCACACCATGGTTAGAAGGTCGTGTGTAAGTATGACAATTACTATTTTTTGTCAAATCAGAACTCTTTGTGTATTTTTTAAAATATTTTTTCTTCTAAGATGGAAATTATTAATTTCCTAGGACTATTTACCTCGAGGTCTCGTTTAGGAAATAAAATCAGATAAGGATGGAAATAACAAATTCAACTTTATCCTATCACGTTGTCATTCTCAATACAATAAATTAAGAAGTCAAGATGAGAACATAATTCATGTTAACATGTCACGTGGTGTTGTAATAAAATGTGACACTAAACTATTTAATAAAAGAGCAAGTTAAAAAAGCAAGTTCTTATAAACAAAAAGAAAAACGGTTTATGCCTTCAGCGGTCTAGATGATACTAAACCAACGGCCATTATGTTTCCAGCTAACAGTGGCATAAGATTTACGCCAAGATTTCACAAAATAAAATAATAACAACAATAAAAAAATCTTTTATAAGATTGTTAATTAGGGCGGAAGGAAAGGCCGCGAAAGGAAAATATGACCGTTAGAGGGCTCACCGCCTTCAACCCTAATCTCTATCTAATGGAAAAAGGAAACCCAACTCCACCAGGAAAAAGGAAAATCAGATTTCATAAACCCCCACACAAAGTCACGAGCTTTCAATCAACGCGTCAAATTTAAGCAATATAAAACCCTAAACTCTTTGCTTGCTTCAATTTCTCTAATATCGTCTTCTTCGTGGATCAGCCACTTCTCTGTTTCTTCAACATCAACCAGTTCATCTCTTTTGCTCTTTACCCAGTTGATCATTTTTTCTGTCTGTCCCCTTGTTTTTGTCAAAACCCAGAAGCCAAAAGCTTTAATTTTGTTTTCACAAACTAAAAGAACAATGGGTTCATTGAAGAGGAAAAGAGAAACCCAAAAGGAAGACGAACCAGGGCTTGTACAGAAAGAGAGGAGTTTGTCAATTCCTGAGTGTGAGTGGGTTCGAGGGCGCATGCTCGGAAAAGGAGGATTCGGGTCTGTTTATTTGGCCACTGCGAAAAACCCAAGTTGGGTAGCGAGTGTTTGCCGGGGATTATGGCGGTGAAATCAGGACGGGTCTCTAAATCGCCTGAGCTGCTCATGGAAAGGACCCTTCTTAAAATTTTTGGCGACTGCCCTTTTGTTATCGACTGTTATGGATCAGATATGACCGCTGATGCTGAAAATAAATGTACATACAATGTGTTCATGGAGTACGCTGATGGAGGAACAATGAGGGATTTGATAAAGAAATCCGGGGGTTGCGGGTTGCTTGAGCCCCAAGTAAGAAAGTATACAGGGTGTCTTCTGAAAGGGCTTCAGTACATTCATGTAAGGGGCTGTGTCCACTGTGATCTGAAGCCTGAAAATATATTGCTTGTGAGTAACAGTGATGGTGATTTTGTGCCCAAAATTGGGGACTTTGGACTGGCAAAGTTTGCTGTTTATAAAAAGAAGAGTAGCAAGGAACCTGCTTGTCAAGGCACTGCAATATATTTGTCACCAGAAGCCGTGCTTTATGGAAATCAGGAGAAGCCTTCTGATATTTGGGCCTTGGGTTGTGTTGTGCTCGAGATGTTAACAGGGAGGTGGCCATGGGATTTGGAAGCCGGTGCGACACTTCAAGACCTACAGCTTCTGATTGCTTCAAAAGTTCCCACTCTTCCTGGCTGGCTATCAGCAGATGCTAAAGATTTCTTGCGAAAGTGCTTTGTGAGGAACCCTTCTGAGAGGTTGGAAGCTGAAAAGCTATTGAACCACCCTTTTGTAACCAGACTTGATGGGCTTGGAGAGGTCAAAGTTGAGCCATTAAAGAAGCAAGTCTCTGCAGTGCCATCCTCTGAGAATTGTGAAAAGGCAGGAGGTTCAAAACCTGGGGATGCAGAGGAGATTCTTCCCTTGGCAGTCCTGTACCCTGGGGACTCAAAACCTGTGATTCTTCCAACCACTGTGTGCGCAAAGCCATCAAATTTTGCTGTAACTGGTGTAGCTTAAAACTTTTTCATGGATTAGTATGATACCTCATCATTCTGTATATTCTTTTCTTGGTGGCTGTACTGATTTCATTATTAATAGAGAGCTAGTTCCACTTTGATTTCTTTCTCTTGGTTCCTTTTTCAAGTTTCTTCTTGTTTCACTCTTGTTTGTACTTTGCATTTGATCCACTAGGTTTATATACGATTAGTAGTTTCCAAGTTGGGATTAAATCAAGTAAAAATGTTCATGCTTGCCCCAAAATACAGGTGATTCTAGCTTATAGGCAGCAATATTGAATTCATATCTTTTCACTTAATAAACATAGGGACAACAAGATGGACATCTCTTCTTTATTGTTCCCAAAGTACAATTTTGTTTTCGAAAGTTCCCGTTGTTCATGCTAAATTAGAGCACTGCTGAACAAACGTGGTTTTTCCTTGGACTTCCATTTTCCCATCTTTGCCTTTGTCATTTCCAGGCAGTAATAATTCTAATCAACAATGTCAGCTCAAAGGAAATTTGTAACAGATTCCTAGCTATGGCTTTTTACCATAATTTTCTTGATCAATTTTGTGTGCAGTAAACCCACAAGGTTGTAGTAAAAACTAAATACCAGCATTTATTCAGGAATGGTTTCAATTATTCAACCATTTGTACCACAAAAATTGTATCTCTTGGTTAACAAAATTGTACCACCCCAAGAGGGGTCAGGCACAAAGTTGTATGTACACAGAAAGTATGAGTAGCCAGCCTGAAATACAACCACACGAAAATACACAGAGATTCATTGTACACGGAGGTTACAGAAAACATAAGCTACATGGTATCCTGCTCTGCAGCATCTTCCTCAGCTAGATCATTCGTTCTCCTCCGAAATCGAGACAAACATGAACTGATTGACTGACTGTTCTCAGCTAACATGTAAAGGCAAAACAAGATAATCCTGTTTCAGGAGCAGACAGATTCTAGGAAAGTTATATATGTCATATGTGTGATGTTTAAAACAAAGATACAAGTCAGGCCAAAAAGGAAAATTTCCATGAATGTATTCAAATAGTGAAAGACTTTGTATCAATGAAAAACAAAGGCAAGTGGCAAATCAGACAGTGGCTAATGCAGACAGATTCTGCAATAGGCTTGATAAGATTATTGTTTATAGCTTGCACCTTTTCTTCTTCTAAAGAACTTGTTGGCTGGAGATTTCTTTACGGATACTTCTATTGCACCCAGTTCTGTTTCTCACCACACCCATATATCCTCACAAAAAATTTCTATATTCTATCCTCATTGGTTGTTAATTGTTTGATTTCTTTTAAACTGAACATAAAGTGAACAACATAATCATGTTGGTTGACACCATGGTTAAAAGGTCGTGTGTAAGTATGACAATTACTAATTTTTGGGTCAAATCAGAACTCTTTGGGTATTTTTTTTTATTAAATTTTTTTCTTCCAAAATGGAAATTATTCCTTAAAATTTACTAGAACTATTTACCTTGATGAGTTCGTTTAGGAAAGAAAATGAGATAGGGATGGAAATAACAAATTCAACTTTATCCTATCATGTTGTCATTCTCAATACAATAAATTAAGAAGTTAAGATGAGAACACAATTCATGTCAACATGGCACGTGGTGTTACCGTCACACATAAAAAATGAAAGAGAGGTTAATAAGGAGCGAAAATGGAGAAAGGTTAAGAAGAAGCGAGAAAGGGAGAAGGAAGGAGGAAGGAGGAAGGAGGACTTTCCTCTTTCCAAAAGTTAAAAATTAGATATAAAAGGGAAAATCATTTTTTGTGTTTAAAATGTGGGTGTAAACTAAGCTCAGTCATTTAATAGAAGAGACAAAAAAATTAATATAAAAAACGAGATATGCTTTCAGCGGGTTAGATAATATTAAACCAACGGCCGTGATGTTTCCAGCTAAGAGTGACCTAAGATTTCCGCGCATATATTTCAAATTGGTAGCAGTCAGTCATTTATTACATTTCACAAAATAAAATCTTTTTATTTGATTTTTGTTGTTGAGAGAATCTTTTTAATTAGAATTTTTTTGTTAATTAGAGCGCAAGGAAAGGCCGCGAAAGAAAATATGACCGTTAGAACGCTTACCTCCTCCTACGCTCTCTCTCTATATAATAGAAAGAGGAAACCCAACAACACCAGGAAAAAGCAAACTCAGATTTCAAGAGCCCTTACAAAAACTTTCACCGCTTCAAAATTGAGCAGAGAGAAAACCCTAAAATTTTACGTTCGTTTCGATCTCTCTTCTCCGTATCAACGATATCGTCGTCTTCGTTGATCACCCACTTTCTCTGTTTCGTCTCTTTTTCTCTTACCCATTTCAATTTGATCGTTTTCTCCAAAATTACGAGCTTCAATCACCGCGTCAAAGTTAGGCAGATAGAAAACCCTAAAACGTTCGCTTCGATCACTCTTCTCTGTTTCAATGATATCGTCTGCTTCGTTGATCACCCACTTCTCTGCTTCGTATCTTTTTCTCTTACCCATTTGATCGTTTTCTCCGTTAATTTGTTTCTGTCAGACCCAAAATCAAAAGCTTCAATTTTTGTTTCTACAAAGTACAAAAAACAATGGGTTCATTGAAGAGGAAAAGAGAAACCCAGAAGGAAGACGAACCAGGGCTTTTAGAGAAGAGTTTTTTACTTACTGGGTGTGGCTCGTGGGTTCGAGGGCGGAAGCTCGGCCAAGGCGGATTTGGGTCGGTTTATTTGGCCTCTGTGAAAAAACCCAAATTGGGTAGCGAGGGTTTTCCAGCGATCATGGCGGTGAAATCGGCATTGATGGTTGAATCGCTTGAGCTGATGATGGAAAAGTCACTTCTTCGAACGCTTCGTAGCAGCCCTTTTGTTATCGACTGTTATGGAGAAGATGTGACGGCTGGGTTTGGTCATAATTTGGTATACAACGTCTTCTTGGAGTACGCTGATGGAGGAACAGTGGGGGATTTGATAAAGCAATCTGGGGGCTCTGGGCTCTGTGAATTACAAGTGAGGAAATATACAGAGTCGATTTTGAAAGGGGTTCAGTACATTCATGAAATGGGTTTTGTGCACTGTGATTTGAAGCCTGAAAACATCTTACTTGTGACCTCTGGTTCTGGTTTTGTGCCCAAGATTGGGGACTTGGGACTGGCAAAGAGGGCTGTGAGCAAGCGTTCTTGTAGAGGCACTCCAATGTACTTATCTCCTGAAACTGTGCTCGACAGAATTCAGGAGAAGCCTTCTGATATTTGGGCATTGGGCTGTGTTGTCCTGAAGATGCTCACTGGGAGGCATCCATGGGATGCAAAAGCCGGTGTGAAACTTCATGACCTAAAGCCTCAGATTGCTTCTGGAGTTCCTAACATTCCTGGTGGGTCATCAGAAGAGGCGAAAGATTTCTTGAAGAATTGCTTTATGAGGAACCCTTCAGAGAGACTCACAGCAGCTAAGCTATTGCACCACCCCTTTGTGACGAAACTTGATGAGATTGGACAGGTTAAAGTTGAACCAATAAAGAAAGTTTCTTCAGTGTTATCTTCTGAGCACTGTGTTCTTGATTATGGTAGTTTCATACCACTTGGAAGTTGGAGCTCTGAAGAGGCAGAGGAGATGGAGCAACAGATTCTTCCTTTGGCCCTCATGTCCCCTAGAGATTCAACCCCTGTGATCCCAACCACTGGGTGCCAAAAGCCATCAGCTTTTCCTATAATGGGTGCAGCTTAGTTTATATTGTTTTGAAAGCCTTCCATGAATTGATGTAAGGCTTGATTATGTATATTCTTTTCTTGGCGACTGTATAGGTTTTATGTTAATATAGAGAGCTAATAGTTCCACTTTGATCTCTTTTCCTAATGTGTGTTGGTGTTACTGTTGTACTGATGTAGATTATCTCACTAATCATTGCATTTGACCCATTAGATTTATATAAGATCAATAGTTTACAAGTTGGAATTAAATCAGTAAAAAGTAAAATGTGCATGCTTGCCTCAAAATACAGGTGAATCTAACTTACCAAGCTCATTCAACAGTTAAGGGCCTGTTGACGGCAATATTGGATGTATATCTTTTTCCTTAATCAGCATAGGGACAACAAGATGGACATCTTTTCTCCATAGTTCCCAAATTACCTTTTTTGTTTCCAAAATTTTCTAAAATATAACTTGTTCATGGTAAAGCAGAGCACTGTTAAACATAGTTTTTCTTTGGACTTTCATTTTTCCGATTTTTCATTTCCAGTCAGTAAAAATTCTAATCAACAATGTCAACTCAAAGGTTGTAGCAAACACTAATGACGGGCATTTATTCAGCAATGGTGTCAATTATTCAACAGTTTGTATCATAAAATTGTATCTCTTGGTTAACAATATTGTACCACCCCAATCGGGGTCATGCACAAAGTCATATGTACACAGATACTATGAGTAGCTCGAAATACACCCACACACAAAAATACAAAGATTCATTGTACATGGAGGTTACAGAAAACATAAGCTACATAGTATCTTGCTCTGCAGCATCTTCCTCCGCTAGATCATTCGTTCTCCTCAGAAATCGAGACAAACATGCACTGATTGACTGACTGTTCTCAGCTAGCATATAAAGGCAAAACAAGCATAATCCTGTTTCAGGAGAAGACAGATTCTAGGAAAGTTATATATATGTGATGTTTAAAACAAAGATACAAGTCAGGCCAAAAAGGAAAATTTACATGAATGTATTTAAATAGTGAGACTTTGTATCAATCAAAAAACAAAAAACAAAACAAAACAAAAGCAAGTGGCAAATCAGACGGTGGCTACTGAATCTGACAAAACAACACATAAGTTGCCAACCTGCTTTTTATCTTAAAAGACCAAACTACGAAAACAATCTCAGCTACGAAGAGGTAACAGATTTAAGCAAACAACGTACCAGCATAGGCAACTGTAAGACCTGACACCAACCGTCCCAAAGCTGAAAGCATGTAAAGACAAAACACCACCTGGAGAAAGATTTAAATGAGAAGTTATCGGGATAGCTGTCTGCAAGAACTACTTATGATTAACAAATTTGCATAACTTTATTCTATGTGATAACATGTTATCACGATACTGATAAGCTACATCTGCAACCATCGCAACCGATAGGAAAATAAAAATCAATTTGATAGACTAGCACAGAAGCAGACTGCTTTAATAACACATGATGGCCTGTCAGCCAAAGGACCTGCCATGGGACCGCAAGATGCCTTTACTCAGGTCAAAAGTTTCATGATTAGAAGTTAGAATTGATAAGCAGAAAAATATGGTGAGGGCTGTCTGTACTCAGTGCAAAAAGTTAATTTTCTACTATAGCAAAGCTACAAATCAGCTACAAAGATATTTTTTATTATCTTGTGGACTGTTATCACAAGTACATTTAAGCTTCCATTCTATTCTTCTTAAATACTATGCAGTAGAAAAGAAGGTGCATTTTGGAGTAACCTCGAAGTGGCATCCAAGTCTTCCCAGTGAAAAAGACAAATGCAAGCATGAAAACACATGTGCACACATAACAACATGCATATGAAGCTCAATACCAAAAGAAATCCAAATTTCTACAATATCAAAGTTCAAAATATGTCCTGACTTGGGCCACTTTATAATTCTTAAGACATGTATTAGCACCTTTCCTTGATACTTAAAGCTCGCAGCAGCTTATGTCAACATGTTAGCCGTTGAAATTTCATCCATAGCCACCAAGTAATAGAGACTGTGCAAAAGCTTGATACCAAAACAAAAATCCATTGCAGTCATCAAGCATTATTACCTTGAAAAACAACCTCTTGTCGTGCCCTGTGGCTGCAACCCTCAACACAGACTCAGCTGCTCCTATGGTATTGGCTAACCATGCAACAATGCTATTAGCAGTGTCCTGCGAAATCTGCCACTCGAGTGGATCGACGGGTACCCTAGTCAACAATAAAACTAGATACTTCAACAAAAAGATCACCATTCACCACTACAATCCTATCAAATCTATAAATTCATAATATGACACAGAAACCGCTTATCAAATAATACCATTCACACAATTATAATTTGAAACAAAGAACCACAAATTCTCAGTTCATCTATCTTGGTAACAACTCCAATTTTTCTTCAATCCCCCATAACCTATTTCAATTCCAATGCATCCATTCAAGACAACCCTACAGAATTAAAGAGCCTATCAAAATCTAAACAAAACCCAATTCTCAAAATCATTCTTAATCAAACTCAATTAAAGCACAACAAATTTGCATTCAATTTTCAACCTTTATCAGATAAAACCAAACTCCAAATTGACCCAATAACCCAATAACAAGACTTTAGAAGCCCAAATTCCTCAAAACCCAGAAAAATAAACCAAAAACAGAAAGAAACGCAGTCGCTTTCCCGCATTTTCTGGGCAGACAAAACAAGGGCGCAAAGGAAAATGGGGAATTTGGACTTACGAGATGTTCATCTGGCGAAAGAGAAGGCCAAGAATGGCGAGCGAGCAGAGGAGGACGATGAGGACATCGGAGACAAGAGAGACGAGGCTGGAGTTGCGATGCGCACAGTGGTAATAGACTAAGCTACCGCAAATCAACACTATCACCGGCTTCCCTACTTCTGATCGATAATCCATTTCTTTGATTTCTTCATGCTCATTGAGGTTTCCATTGTCCTCTTATTTTTGACTCTCCTCTTAATTTTTTTTTTCCTTTTTTTAAAATTCTCTGTGGTCAAAATTTTGACTCTACCACATTAATTGTTCTTTTAATTTTGGAGTTGGGACCAAATTATGACTTTCTTTTTACCAATTAACATTTTTCACTGCTTATTATTTAAGTTTAAGTTCAGGGAGCTGATTTTCTCACTTATTTTTTGTCCATTTACACTACATTTATTAGAAATTGTATGTTTCCACTTCTCTTTTGTTCGCTTACACTACTTTTTTTTTTAATCATAGTAAAAACTATTAAAAAACAAAAAAGAGTGTAAATGGACAAAAGGAGTGAGAAAATCACCACCCTAAGTTTATCCAGAAATTAATGAAAAAGGACCCCTTAAATTGAATTCACATTTTTTTTTTTACAACCCTTATTTACATGTTTATGATCTTTGATGTAATTTATGGTAGTTTTCAATTAAAAACCTCATCACTGAAAACATGATTTGCATTTTGGAGGGCTCTTTGTTTGATTTGGGCCTTTATTTGTACCCCCAAAAAGAAAGCCACAATTTGTAAGGTTTTTTTTCTTTTCTTTGTTGTCAAATGTAGAAGCTTTTCTTTTGGCCATTGACAAGGTCTTTCTTCTACAACACTTGAGAAATTTCAAAATGAAACATACCATACATAACTTTTTACATCATATTACATATCAATGCAATTTTTCTGTCGTTCCAAATTCACACACACTACGAAATAGGCCCTACATAGTACACCTAGGCCGGCCATCAGCCAGACATGAATTCTTACTTCTTACATTGCTTTACATGGATGTTTTATATCTGACTGTACATGTACAATTTGAAAATACACAATACATTTACATACTTGGAAATATCAAACAAGCTTCTAGCGTCTGTCTTTTGGCTCTTCTTCTTGCAAAGAGGACATGGTAGCTGATCTTGAGTTCTCTTACTTACATATAGTTTCTAGAGTTTTAATAAATCAGCAGAAATCTAACCCTCTCTCAAGAATAGCACTCTTTATAGAAAGTTTTAACGATGGAAAAAGAATAGAAGACGTAAGACCTTCAGTCTGGTGCGTAGCCCCGATGTTTCCTACTCTTTAATTTTCTATAGAAGGTGATATTCCTGAAAAGAATATGTATTATCTTTTGCTGGTTTGTTAAAAACACCAGTTTCTAATGTAATGCTTCTGCCTTCTGCAACTGTCAAGAACAACCCCTGGGGCCAAATGGATTAAACCCTATGCCCCCTCAGCTTCTGAGGTTTGGCCATCTGCATGTTAAAGGGTTAAAAATCAGTATCCAAATAAAATAATTAAAACAAAGAAACAAAGCAATTCTTTAAGCCTGTATAACAGTTGCACAGCCCAAGAGCACGTTCAGGTTAGATAATGATAGATTAAGAAGCCACATAAAAGACAACCAGCCTTCTATTAGATGCAGATAAAGTGGAAAGTACTCATCACTACATGCACAAATTGAAAATGGAAAAGACACACCTTCACCAGATAGCTGTTCAAACCGAACAACTATGTGTTTCCCATATGTATATTTTTTCAGAGCATCTATATGAACTCTTATAAGATTGAGCAGTGTTTCCCGCTGTCTATCATTGCTTGTTTCAAGAACCTTCTGAACCACATAATTGGCAAATTGGTCCTTCATCATTGGCTGGAATATAAAATCAAATAACATAACTCAGTAAGCAGAAAACAACCTTTAACCAGCATTCAATATCAACACTTCCAAAATCTGCATGGTTCCAAAAGAAATTTTATGGACTTTACAACGCTCCTCATGTTATTTAAATAGGAAAGTTTTTGAAAATTGTTTGGAACCAAAGGAAATCCACCCATGTGGAAATGAAGTCTTCAGTTCAACTTGTAATATCAAATTGCATAACTGGATGTTTCCTAATTGGCTCATATTTCAAACACTATATATTATGCTGCCTTGGAGCCAAATGCTGGTCAATACCTACCAACTTTATTTTCGTAGGTAAAGAATAAAAGATCTGAATACATGGGATAACATATCTTATGCGCTTTGGCTTGACTTACCAACAGACTATCATTTTCCTCCATTTGCCCAATGATTTCCTCAATCAAGAGCTCCCGCTCAGCAACATCACCATGTTCCAGACACTTTTCAACAACATTTGATGCATATTTAT